TTACCCTCCTACTGACAAATGTATCTCCTTTGCCACTGCCCTTCGGAGCTTCTTAAGACTATCTCAGGCAGCCACAAAGGATAAAGATATTTTATTGAACAATATAAGCACCTTCTTATCTTTTAAACACTATCTTGGACTCTAACCCTAGTTTGCACACCAGAGATGTTAAGTAGGTTTTATATTGTGTGCCAGCTCCTGTCATTTGATTGAGCCTTCCTAGAGTGTTATGTTTAGAACGTTCCTGAACTCACATTTGTGCTTGGCAGGAAGATGATCAATGATGCCTGCCATGGGCAAGAGAGAGGTAATGGAAATATGTATGCCAGAAAATTACTATCCCTCTCTTCCATCCTGCCTGAGTGAGTCAAGAGACACCTACCTGCATCCTGCTAACTTCCTTTCTTTGGCACTGGCTCTGCTACCTTTATCCAATACCTACTTGTGGAATATCCAAGTATTTTCTTTGTGTATTTGAAGAGTATGAAGTGTGTATGGATTTGTTTTTTGCTTACTTGGTGGGTGGGTTATATAAATTATGGAAATGATTTAAAGTAGTTGAAGAGGATTTAACACAAACATGCTTTCAATGATACACACACACACACACACACTATGAGAGAGAGAGAGAGAACAAAAAACTATGTCCCAATAAAGTCTTTTCCATTTCTTAACCTAGTTCCTGATATAGTCAGAATCTCTTTCTTCTATTTTTTAAAAAAATTAAACAAAAGAGAGCAAGTTTTTAACCCAATTATATAGAAGGAAAAAGACTGACAACATTGATCGACAGGAAATACTATGATTCAGAGCATAGTCACAAATTATCATATGATTTAATAAACTTGAAGGTATTTTTACTGGGAAGTAAATGGAAGGGGGAAAGCTCTTTAGAATAAATCAGAGGAGGAAAGAAAGAGAAAGAAGAAGAAATATTACATTCAGATACTCAGTCATTCAAGGAATGTTATGCTCCTTCCTCAAGGAGATTATGGTCTAATTTAGATTGTGTATACGTGTATCCAGGCCACATGTGAAGAACTACCAGCTAGTGGACGTTGACCTTTTCTGGTAAAAAAAAAAAAAAAAAAAGGTGCAGGCATACACAGTTTTTTTAAGATGGAAATCTCCTGCTGTCTTTTTTTTTTTTTTTTAAGACAGAGTCTCGCTTTGTTGCCCAGGCTAGAGTGAGTGCCGTGGCATCAGCCTAGCTCACAGCAACCTCAAACTCCTGGGCTCAAGGTATCCTGCTGCCTCAGCCTCCCAAGTAGCTGGGACTACAGGCATGCGCCACCATGCCCAGCTAATTTTTTCTATATATATTAGTTGGCCAATTGATTTCTTTCTATTTATAGTAGAGAGACGGGTTTGAACTCCTGAGCTCAAATGATCCGCCCGCCTCGGCCTCCCAGAGAGCTAGGATTACAGGTGTGAGCTACCACACCCGGCCTCCTGCTGTCTTCTTTGGTAGTCGTGTTCCTGATCTCATCTATGCTCTGGTAAGTGGAAGTTCCTCTAGAAGTCTAGCCAGCAGCTGTTCCTAAGGTCTACTATCATAGCACCTTTGGATACTCAGAAAAGTGCAAAATAACTACACAAGTATATAAACATTTAAGAAAAATAAACTCCTTCAGAATAGAGTCTCTGTCTTACCTTTGTATGATTTATGTAATTTTTAAAGTTGAATCATATATGAATGAAGAAATGGAAAAAATTTTTTTAAAAAAAGAATGAAAGTGGTCATGGGCTTTTCCTTCACTTCGGGCCTGCACTGTCCAATACAACAGCCACTAGCTACATGTGTCTACTGAGCACTGGAAATGTGGCTAGCCTGAATTGAGGTGTGCTGTAAATATAAAATTGGATTTTGAAGACTTAGAACAAAAAGAGCTGGGCACAGTGGCTCACACCTGTAACCTCAGCAGTTTGGGAGGCTCAGGCAGGAGGATTGCTTGAGCCCAGGATTTGGAGGCTTGCAGTGAGCTCTGATAGCACCACTGCACTTCAGCTTGGGTGACAGAGTGAGATCCTGTCTCTAAAAAAAAAAATGAAAGATAGAACATAAAATATCCTATTGATTATATGTTGAAAGGATAATTTTTGCTGTATTGGATTAAATAAAATATCTTATTAAAATTAATTTTACCTGTTTCTTTTTACTCTTTTAGTGTGGCTACTAGATAATTTAAAATCACCTAAGTGGCTTGCATTATATTTATATACAATAGCGCTGCTCTAGGCAATTCCTTAAACACTCAAGATAGATGGCAGTGTAGTTTATTCATTCTTTGAGCCCAGAAAATCCCCCTCTATCTATTTGAAAGGACACAAAGTGTTGTGACTGTCTATAGCAGGTGGGTCACAAACTTTTCCTCTATGGGGACAGATAATAAGTACATTTAACTCTTGTTTCACAGTGTGAAAGCAGCCACAGCCAAGACCAAGGAGTGTAACTGTTTTCCAGTAAAACTTTATTTATAAAATCAGGTGGCCATGCAATCAGTCACTAGGAATTTCTCAGTACACAGGTATACAGACATGATAAAAAATACCTCCAAAGAAAAGAAAATTTGATGCAAATGGTAAATTTGACACAAATGGTCAAATCCTGTTAAAAAATATGCATTGTCATATTTAGCAATTATAGGACTAACTTGCCATAAGACAGACACTAGGCCTAAAACCATGAAAAAAGTCTGTATTTAAAAAGGATAAGATTTTAATCCAAAATAATTTTTCAAGTGTATGCACACTACATTTAGTACCTCCCCATGTTGCATTAATTTGTTATATAAAGCTACTTGTCTCTAAAGTCATTTACTATGACTTCACTGTGTAAGTAACCTGTTTTACTCAAAGTCTACTAATTTAAATGTTAATTTCATCTCAAAAATACATTCATAGAAACACCTAGAACAATGTTTGAGCAAATATCTGGGTACAGTGGTCTAGCTAAGTTAATCCATAAAATTAACCATCACAATATTTTTTTCCTAAGAAGAGAAAGTCTGTCCTCCCTCCCCTCCTTCCTTTCATCTTTCCTTTTTTGTTTCTCTCCTTCTTTTTCCCTCTACAAATATTTCCTGACAGCCCACTAGATTCCCTATCCTAATAATTTTTAAAGAAAAATAACTATCTCCATACACAATCCATTGCAGTCTACCGAAATGTCTGTTTTCCCCAAACTCTGATAGCATGTGCTGCTCTCAGCCAATGAGAGAGAATGTGACAGACTGTGCTGTATGCTGCTGTCCAATGAGCATTACTGTACTATAAAGCATACGTGCTCAACCAATCAGCTCTCTGCTGTGTTATTTAAGTGGGTTTTGTTATGTATTGCTTAATTTGCGGTGACCTCTCCTTTCCACACGTATTTTGTGTTCTGGTTAATAGTTTTGACCCATAAATGACTGACAAAAGGGCACATGTGACAGAATGGACTTGACTTCAAGGGAAGAGTATCACGAGAGGTTTTACAAGTTTTATGATCGCTCTCACCTGCATGGACATAGTTGAGAAGCAAGAGTGAAAATCAGCAGACGATCAGGATTCAGGATTTGCAGGAATCCTCAGATGCTGCGAAGGGCAAAACGAACACCTCTGCAGCCCGGGCTGTGGGGCAGCTGTAGTGGGAGGCTTGTCCCCTTTCTGGGGAATTGGAAATAGACATGACATTGGCAAGATGGCAATGTGGGATGCCCGGCACACCACTCCACAAGGACTGGGCTTTAACAGGTCACTACAGTATTGGCTTGGGTAGTGGTCTCATTTCTAGAAATGCATCTCCCCTGGTAAATAGGTTTATGTGCAATGCAGTAATTCAAATGAGACTTTTTTCCCCAGTTTGTTTTGATAAATAGGAAATCATTGGCCCTGTTTTAATAAATCTATTTTTACATGTAGTATAACTTGCAAGTCTCATGCATTATATATTCAACCATCTAAATATCTTGAAAACAGGTTATTTTTCTAAAGTGGGTTTAATCTTTTCCTCCGAAATATGTTTAAACCATTCATTTCCATGACAAACCCTGTAATACAAAAGTAATCTCTGAGCCAATCTCTGACCAAATCATGACAAATTCTAAATCAGCACCATCTAAATTAGAGCACCCACCAGCTAAACAGCGGCATCTGTCATTAATCCCTTTGTAAAACTTGTTTTTCTGTTTAAAAGAGATAGTAAAAATTATGTTCTTGTAAGTTAGGGTTTAAAATTGGAAAGGGTTATATGATCCCTTTAGAAAAGATAGTCTGCTTCAGAAAGCAGTTTGTATTCCATTCTGGGTTAGAGATGGTTACCAAGGAGACCACTCAACTTCATCGGTAGGCTTCTAGGATTGGGAATCTAGTGGGCTCTCAGGAAATATTTGTAGAGGGAAAAAGAAGGAGAGAAACAAAAAAGGAAAGATGAAAGGAAGGAGGGGAGGGAGGACAGACTTTCTCTTCTAAGGAAAGAATATTGTGATGGTTAATTTTATGGGTTAATTTGGCTACACCACTATATCTAGGTATTTGCTCAAACATTGTTCTAGGTGTTTCTGTGAATGTATTTTTGAGATGAAATTAACATTTAAATTAGTAGACTTTGAGTAAAACAGGTTACTTACATAGTCAAGGTGGGCTTTATCCAATCAGTTGAAGGCCTAAAAGAAAAAGACTGACCTCCCCCTGGGAAGAGGGGATTCTGCCAGCAGATTGGCTTTGGAGTCAAACTGCAGGATCAGCTCTTCCCTGGGTCTCCACTCCTGCTATATTATTAATATCTTCTCTTTCCAGCTGGCACCATGACCTCATGGGGCATTCCTTATGATCAGTTGGAGGAAGAGAAAACTCAAATCTGGATTGTAGTGGTTTTGTGGGATATGCACGCACCACCCAGAAGTAGACACCTGTAGCTCTACAGCCCTTTTGGGGACATCCTTGAAGGCCAGTGGTGAAGGGAAATCCTCCCAGTGGGCAGAGCTTCAAGCTCTGGTTGTTCATTTTGTTTAGGAGGAGAAATGGCCAGACCTGCAATTATGTACCAATTCATGATCGATAGCCAATGGTTTGGCTGGATGGTCAGACACTTGGAAAATTGGTGACTGAAAAATTGGTGACAAGGAAGTCTGGGTAAGAGGTATGTGGATAGATCTGTCTGAATAGGTGAAAAATGTGAAGATATTTTGTCCCATATGAACTCTCACCCAAGGGTGACCTCGGCAGACTTTAATATCAAGTGGATAGGATGGCCTGTTCTATGGATAGCCATCAGCTTCTTTCCCCAGCCACCTCTGTCACTGCCCAATGGACTCATGAGCAAAGTGGCCATGGTGGCAGGGACAGAGGTTATGCATGGGCTCAGCAATATGGACTTCCACTCAACAAGGTTGATCTGGCTACAGCCACTACTACGTGCCTATTCTGCCAGTAGCAGAGACCAACACTGAGCCACCAATATGGCACCAATGCCCCAGGTGATCAGCCAGCTACCTGTGGCAGGTTGAACCACTTCCATCATGGGAGAACAGTGTATTGTGTTCTTATTCTAGTACACACTTACTCTGGATACAGATTTGCCTTCCTTACATGCAATGCTTCTGCCCAAACTACCACCTACAGACTTTGAGACTGCCTCATCCACCATCCTGGCATTCCACGCAGCATTGCTTCTGACCAAGGAACTCACTTCACAGCAAAGGAAGGGCAGCAATGGCCCACGTTCATGAAGTCACTGGTCTTACCAGGTGCCCCACCACCTTGAAGCAGCCGGCTTAATAGAATGGTGGAATGGCCTTTGGAAAACTCAGTTACAGCCCCAGCTAGGTGGCAATACCTTGCAAGGCTGGTGTAAGGTTCTTCAGAAGGTTTTATATGCACTGAATGAGTGTCCAATATATGATGCTTTTTTTTCCTCATAGCCAGAATTCAAGAGTCCAGGAATCAAGAGGTGGACATGTGAGTGTCACCACTCACTATGACCCCTAGTAACCCACTAGCAAAATTTTTGCTTCCTCTACCAACATCCTTGTGTTCTACTGGCCTAGAGATCTTGGTTTCAAAGAGAAATCCTTCCACCAGGAGACACACTATGAATCCATTGAGTTGGAAGTTAAAACTGCCACCTGGCCACTTGGAACTCCTCAGATACAACAGGCAGAGGGAGTGTTGCTGTCTGGGGTGACTGAACCTGGCCATCAAGGGGATATTGAATTATTGCTCCACAATGGAGGTGAGGAAGATCATGTTTGAAACACAGGAGATCCCTTTGGGTATCTCTAAACACTACCATGTGCCATGACTAAAGTCAAAGAGAAACTACAACAACCCAATTCAGACAGGCTACTCATGGCCTGTCAGGAATGAAAGGTGGGGTAAAAAGCCATGACCAGCCAAGGTGCTCGCTGAGAGCAAAGGGAATACGGACTGGGTAGTGGGAGAGGGTAGTCAGAAATACCAGCTGCGTATTAACTGAGCAGCACCTAAGTGGACACATAGGTGCTACAGTAATAGGGTAGTGGGCAGGTGGGAGGGGGGAGGGGGGTGGGTATATACATACTTAATGAGTAAGATGTGCACCATCTGGGGGATGGTCATGCTGGAAACTCAGGCTTGTTGGGGGAGGGGGAAAGGGCATTTATTGAAACCTTAAAATCTGTACTCCCATAATATGCCGAAATAAAAAAAAAATTACAGATTAAAAAAAAAAATACCAGCTGCAACCGTGTGACCAGTGTCACAAACAAGGACTATAGTTGTCATGAGTATTTCTTCCTTGTTTTGTTACAAATATATCGGTGTATGTATATGTATATGTATGCATATACATAGAATATACTTAATTTTCTTCCCTCTCTTATTCCTTTCTCATGTAACATAAGATGTATTGACTTTATTTCATGGCATCTCAGTATTGTTAACTTTATATTATAGTATTTAAGTTACAGGTTATCAAGGAGAAAAGTAAGCATCACCCAAGGACTTTGCATCCTCTTCTGGGGGTTAGTATGTTTTCAGTTGTATGCTGGATAATTGTATCATTAAGGTAGATGAAGCATAACCTCTTTTCATCTTTATTCATAGATTAAGTCTACTTTAAGGAGATGTGCATGGGTGCCCAGTTGACAAGGGGTAGACTTGTGATGGTTAATTTTATGTGTCAACTTGGCTAGGCCACAGCGCCTGGATATTTGATCAAACACCAGTCTAGATGTTGCTGTGAAAGTATTTTTTAGATGAGATGAACATTTACATCAATAGACTGAGTGAAGCAGATGTGGGTGGGCCCCATGCAATCATTGGAAGGCCTTAAGAGAAAAAAGACTGAGGTCGTGGTACATCCCAACAATGGGATATTATTCAGTACTAAGAAGAAATGAATTATCAAGCCAGGAAAAGACACAGAGGAATCTTAAATGCATGCTACTAAGTGAAAGAAGCCAATCTGAAAAGGCTCTATACTGTGTGATTCCAGCTATATGACATTCTGGAAAAGGCAAAGCTATGGAGACAGTAAAAAGATCAGTTGTTGCCAGGGCTTGGGGGGGTGGGGAGGGAGGGATGAACAGGTGGAGGACAGAGGGTTTTTTAGGACAGCGAAACTCTCCTGTATGATACTTCAATGGTGGGTGCATGTCACTGGACATTTGTCAAAACCCGTGGGATGTATAACATCAGGAGTGAACACTAATATAAACTAGGGACTTTGGGTGGTGATGGCGTGTCAGCGTAGGTTCACTGACTGTAACAAGTGTACACTCTGGCGCAGGATGTGGGTACTGCGGAAACCGTTTGTATGGGGGGGCAGGGGATTTATGGGGACTCTCTGTACTTTCCCACTCGGTTTTGCTGTGAATGCAAAACTGCTCTAAAAAATAAAGCCTATTTAAAAAAAAATGATACAGGTCCTCCAAGGAAGAGGAAATTTTGCCTCTAAACTGTTTTGGACGCAAGCTGCAATGTCAACTCTTCCCTGGGTCTCCAGCCTGCAGGCTCACCCTGTGGGGTTGATTTTGGATTTGCCAGTCTCCTTAATCACTTAAGCCAATTCTTTAAAATCTCTGTCTCTCCTTACACACACGCGCACACACACACACACTATCTCAATGTGTGTGTGTGTGTGTGTATGTGTGTGTATGTACATGCACATGCTATCGGGTCTGTTTCTCTGGAGAACCCCGACTAACACGAACACGAAATAAAGTCACATTGCGGTGCTGATATAAACACACGCTACGAGTCTACACGTGCTTTTTACACATGGCTGTTGTTACAGGGAAAGAAAGATCGTGCCACTCAAAGCTCGAGGACCAGCCAGGCGTCTGGTGGCCGTAGCAGGCAGAGGAAAGGCCCTCATGGTAAGAGGCATCCCAACCCCTATGGAAGAAAATCCAGGACAGGCCTTAGACTTTTAGTAAAAGGAGAGATGAACCCGATAGTCTCAACCTTGCGGTGGGCAAGTGAGAGCAGAGGAACCCTCTGTGCTGGCACGTCTGTTTCTGCAGTTAATCCCACCAGCCCCACAAGCAGGTCCAATCCTAGCGACTCCAAGAGCCAGGAGATAGCGGGAAAGCCACAGTGCTAGCATGACGAGCATCCAGGGGCTGTGATTAGAAGTATAACGATTCCAATGATGAAAAAGAAATTTTCTACACAGCTTTAAGGAAAAACAAAGCTTAAACAATGACTGATAAGATTTAAGGATGGGTGAGAAACGCAGCGAATGTGCTTAGGTGTGTATTTTCTTTAGTAATTGGCTCTGTGGGGCTATCTGCTTTGCTTTTAATGTTTGTTATCTGTTTTAATAAAGAGATCTTGCCTTTGTAACAGAAATTATAATTAGATTGTAAAATAAATTAATCTTTCAACTAATCATACCTTTGGGAGAGCCAGGCTTTTTCGACAGAAAAGCTCTGATGTGAGAATTGTCACTTACTTGGTGGCCGCTACCCTAATTCTATGCAAAGTACGCAGAGGAAACTGACAGTCTCCTGAGTGCTGAGCTTACAAACTCAACCCCAGTAAAGAGAAAGAAATATCAGTATTAAAATTTTCACATGCGTATGAACTTCAAATGCGGTACTAAGTCTCCTGACACTGTCAAACATTAACAATAAATATAACAAAGTGGCATTCAAGGCACCAGATCAATAGTTTTGAACTTCTTCAAGTATGAGGACACCCTTATAATATTTTCAAAGTTTCCAGGATCCCCTATGGAGTGGTAGCCATACTTTAGTATCTGATGCAAAAATACTTAATGAGAAAAAGTAACTAAGAATTTGGAAGTTATTTTAAATGAATGCATAAACTATTACTCATTAAAAAAAACTGTGTATGTTAAGAACAGTAGTTCATATATGTGTGAGCTCTATGATTAATTTAGTCTAGGTGTATACAGGGATTCATAAACCCCTTGTAGTAATTCCTTGATAGCATCAGACTTTTTAGCACTGATTTAGATAATGGGATGTGAAGACTCTCAAAACCTATACTTTTGATTATTGTTGTTATTTTAGAGACAGGGTCTTACTCTGCTGCCCAGGATGAAGTACGGTGGTGTGATCATAGCTCACTGCAGCCTTGAACTCCTGGGCTTCAGTGATCCTCCTGCCTCAGCCTCCTGAGTAGCTGAGACTACAAGTGCACGCCACCATGTCTGGCTAATTTATTTTATATTCTACTATTTTTTGTAGAAATAGGGTCTCACTATGTTGCTAGTCTTGAACTCCTGGCCTCAAGTGATCCTCCTGCCTTGGCCTCTCAAAATGTTGGGATTACAGGCCTGAGCCACTGTGTCTGGCCCTTATACTCTTTTAAGGACTCTGCATCTTAGAGCAAATGCAAGATCCTCCCTCTGGATGCCACAGCTAGGTGGTGGCGCATTCCTCCATCACTTATCATGGCTTCCCAACTGGCCTCACTGTCTCCACTCACCTCCTCTCTCCTCACCTCTGATTCATTCTCCTCATCATGGCAGAGTCACCTTTCTAGATCTAGATCTTCCCAACCCACTTCCCCACTCAAACCCGTCCATGGTTTCTCATCACCGAGGGCAGCTTTCTCAAACTTGAGCATGCATCAGACTGCTTTGGGAGACTTGCTAAAATGCAGATTATGGGGCTCCATTCCCAGCGTTTCTGACTCAGTAAGTCTGGGGTGGGGACTAAAGATTTGCCTTTCTAACAGGTTTTGGGTCAAGTGATGGCGCTGGTCTAGGGACAGCACTTTGAGAACCACTGTCCTAGTATATAAAATCCAGCCTTCTTAGTCTAACAAAGTAGACTAAGACTGCTTCCTGTTTTGGACCCTGACATCTTTCAAATTTTGTCTCCTGCCTTATTTGCCCTTTACCCATTAATCACTTGTCACATTTCTACTCATCCTAAGCTTAAGCATCACTCCCCTCTCAGAGCACCCTCCAGGAAAATTAATCAAGCCACCTTCCATGTTCCCACTGACTTAGGACCCATCTTTCTCTTACAGCACGCACCCCTTCTGTTTGTAATCGTTCGTTCACACACATCTGCCTTGCCCACTAGATGTGTGCTCCATGAAGACAAGGCTCTAGTCATCCCTCGTAGTGTTCCCACTACCAGAATATACCAGGCTCTCAGTACCCAGTTCTGCATGCTTTTGAATCAGTATAAATAGCAAGTGTACAACTTTTAAAGACAATGTCTCTAAGGCAGTTGGAAACCTTGCACCCTGTTGGCTCACGTCCCTAGGATTAGAGTGCTGTCAGTTCAAGATGCTGCTTGTAGCAAAGAAAGTAATATGTTGTTAACACCCTGCAGCTCTGTGTGATCCTCATTTAAAGGACGTATGTCTACATATGTCAAACATGCAAATAAAATTAAGAAACATAGGAAATCTTAATTGGAATCCAGTGCTAACTAGACTGACAACAAACCAAAAACTTTTGTTTGTCTCTGAAATCCCATATGGTTCAGTGACAATCAAAGATGGTTCCACATTTATCCCATCAACACAGCATTAAAGCAAGGGCAACAAGATTTCAGTTATGTTTTCCATACGTGTTTTACAAACACAGCTGAGAATTCCCAAATAACAGGGTAATTGGAGTTGGCAACAAGAGATGGGTTTTTTACATGTTGGAGATTTTGCATAGCCCATGAGATAAAGAGAAAAAAAAGAGAGTCTTTAAGAGCATCTGATGTGATTACAAGTAAAAAAGTGGACTTTATGTGTACCACACTATTTGTCATACAGTTGCCTCCGGAGAGATACCTGCAAAGTTGAAAAGCAGCATCTTCAAATGTAAACAATACTGTATTATATATACAGAGTCTATCATCCTTTTATCGGCTCCCACGTGTGCTTTATTCTGGTTGATCCTCATTGACTGTTAAAAGATTTTTGTATTATAGTTCCAAGGATAGGTCTTAAGGTACCCGATCTACAATTGCTATAATGTGTCAATTCCTGCTCCCTCCTTCCTTCCCTCCTCCTCTCCCTTCGTTCTCTCTCTCTCTCTCTCTCTCTCTCTCTCTTTCTCCCTTTCTTCCAGCCCCCCTGCCTTCATATATTAATACAAATTTTTTAATATGTATCCACATACACATCCTCCCATTCTTCAACTACTTCTCTTGACTTTCATAAATTAATTTGTTAAATGATACCTCCCCACGCTCTGATAATAGCTACCAAATTTTGCTCAACCTTTAACAATCTGTCATCAGAGCCTGTTCATCAGAACACATTCAGCTTGAAAAAATGTTCTTCAGACATCTTATTCACTCATTTATTTAATAATTGAGTGTCATAGGTACTGTTGACACAGCAGTGAACAAAATAAATATGATTCCTGACCTCACTGCACTCACAGCCTTGTGGAAGAAACAGTGAGTAAACAAGTAATCTCCCCAATAAATACATAATTACCATGTACAAGTGCCTTGAAAGAAAAGTCTTTCCTGAGAGATATTAGGAGTGAGGGATCTCATCTGAATGAAGGAAACATGAAAGATTCTACCACTGACCCCAATTCTTCACCCTCCCCTGTGTCCAAGCCTTTGCCAAGTGAGTGCTGCAGTCCCTCCCACAAAAGGGGTGGAGTATGTGTCCCTGACCTTTAGCTCTGGCTTTGGCCTTGGGGCTTGATTGGACCAATAGAAAAAGGCAAAAATGATGTTGGGCCAGTCTTGAGCCTAGGTGCAGTCAAGAGTGCACGTGTGTTTATACCTGCCTATTGCACTTTTGCTATTGCGCTTAGAAGAATATGTCTAGGCTAGCCTGCTGGTCTCAGGGGAGAGCATGCCAGACATGCAGAACTGACCTGTCCCTGCTAATATGCTCCAGCCAAGCCTGGGTTAAAGGATGGTGGTGCATGCCTTGTAGTCCCAGCTACTTGGGAGATTGAGGCAGAAGGGTATCTTGACCCCAGGTGTTCAGATGCAGCCTGGGGAACATAGCAAGACCCTTCTCTTAAAACTAAAAATAAAAAGAAAAGAAAAGTCTCCAGCCATCCCATACATCCCACATGCCCAGGTATGAGCCAGGCTTCTATCAGACAACCCAGCTGACCAATAGATGCATGAACTCTAATAATACATAGTTATTGTTCTGAGCCATGGAGTTTTGACATAGTTTGTTACACAGCAATAGCTAACTGATGCAGGGCAACAGGGCATCCGGAAATTCTTTGCCAAGAAGCAACATTTGGGCTGAGACTAAAATATCAAGCAAGTATGAAACAGGTGGAGAATGAAGAGAAGAGAGTCCTGATGGAGGGAAAGGCCTGTGTGAAAGACTCCAGGTGAGAAAGAACTTGATACATTCAGGTGACTGGAAGAAGCTCTGTGGTTTGGAGAAGGGAACGAGCTGAAGCTAGAATGGAAGCAGGGCTAGATCATGCATGGCTTCTCATATAGTCTTCTTAGAGATTTTGTTTAAGGTTAAACTTCAAAAATTGGACTCAAAGGACAGCTATCTGTGATCAGGGACATTAAAATCAAAGGACTGTCATCTTCATTATTATTAATATTAATCTAGAATTGTGCTGTTCCATACGGTAGACACTAGCCACATATATGGCTACCTAAGTTTAAATTAGTTAAAACTAAACTGAAAATTCAGTTCCTCAGTTGCGCTGGCCTCATTTTAAATGCTCAGTAGCCCCACGTGGCTAGTGGCTATGATATTCGCAAAGCAAATATAGAACTTTTCCATTATCACAGAAAGTTCTATTGGATAGTGCGTTCATTTCTTATTACTGCACAGTGAATTACTACAAACTTAGTGGCTTAAAATAACATAAATGTATTATCTCAGTGTCCACAGGTCAGGAGTCTGGGTAGGTTAACTAGGTTCTCTGCTCAGTGTCTCACCAGGCTGAAATGAAGGGGTAGACTGGGGGGTCTCCTCTGAGGCTTGGGGTCCTTTTCCAAGCTCACTAGCTGTTGGCAGAATTCATTGTCTTGCATGTGTATGACCAAGGGACAGCTTGCAACTCCTAGATGCTGCCTTTGTGTCCTTATCATGTGGTCCCTTCTTACAACATGATAGTTTGCTTCATTTCACTTGAGGCCAGCAGGATAGATTCCGACCTGCACCTTCTTTCTAAGGGCTTGTGTGATATCATCAGGTCCAGCTGGGATAAATTCCCTTTCGATTAACTCAAAGTCAACTGATGGGTGACCTAATCAAGGGAGTGGCATCCCATCACATTGACCGGTCCCACCCACACTCAAGGGTAAGTAAGGGATTATCCAAGACACACACATGAGGGGATCTTGCGGCCCATCTTAAAATTCCATCTCCCATAGACAGCACTGATCTAGAAAGTAGAAAAAGGTTCAGTAAACTAATAAATGGAGAAGGCAAGTGGTGGGAGAATGTAGAATGATTAGTATGGGCTTAGATCACAGGGTCATTGCTATTGAAATAATCTCTATATAATTGAGGTCTGTAACAGCCTTCTTATCATTGACGGCTGGCTCCCGCTAGGATCAAAGTTTATCTATCACACAGTAGTTTCACTCTCAAAGTAGCTGCAACCATTCCTCTGCATGTCACCATGCAAGAGGATAAACAAAACCTTTAAAAGCAAACACAAATAGACATTACCTTAGGTGCTGACATTCCTCTGTTCTATTTCCTTGCTGTTACTAACCTCCCGGAGTTTCTGACCTTATGCTAGTCTTGATCTCCAAAACCCAATTGCTGCTTCTCAGATTAACTGATTTACTGGCTTGACACACCTTGGCTTCGGTCCGAACTCGCTGGCTTCCAGACCCTTGGCCCTCACGATTGCAAACAACTGTGGAGCTTCAGCTCTTGGCACTTGAACCTGAAAAGGGCCAGATACTCTTGGGCACAGTCCCCGTCTCTCACAATCCCTGTTTGGCTGCTGCCCGTGACTTGGGTTCAGGGAAGGAGAGGACCTTAAGTACTAATTTTCAGGGGGAGGTGAGCTGGCAGAAAAAAAATCATTTACACCATTTGACTTGGTTGCCCCGAGTGTAAACTTCAACCACTGATTAGGAGGACTCTGTGAGGGTAATTATTAATTTTAAAGAAGTGCTCGTTTAAAATCATGTTAGGAATATTTTTATCATTGTGATAAACTTGTATCTACATAATTTTAAGTTCCACAAAGAAACTGTTTTTTAAGGGTTGCATTTAATTATTTTAAGAAATTCTATTTCAGAGCTATACTTGATTCTGAAATGGCCTCTATAGTAGTTCTTCCTTTAAAAAATGGTTTTTTCTTTCCTTACAAGTGAAGAATAAGTGTTTGCATTCTAACTATAATCAGTGTTTCAACGGAGTGGAGATATTTTAGTGCCTTCGGTGGGCATTTATCTTCTTGCCATCAGCACAATAGAATGAAAATGTACCCATATTAGCATTAATAATAAAACCAAGTCCATTATGCAGACTTTCTTGTCAGTTAAATTTGTTGCAGGCTCAGTTTTGGATTCAATTTCATCCATTTGGAAGTACTTTTGCTGTCAAGCAAATTTTTGTTTTATCATTTTAATTTCGGAGGTTTTTTTATTTCTTTCTTTCTTTTTTGCTCTCCTGTGTCTGAATCACCTTTTTAGAGGTTGGAAAACGGTTCTTCCCCACTGGTATAGGAAGGAATTGATTTGGCAAACTTAGATATTTTCCCTGTGATGTGAATAGAGTTAATTTTAACAGAGCTGTTTCATTTTAACAGCCTCAACTTGCACAGTGTGTGTCATGCCAAACAGCTTTGTGTATGATCATCGACTGATGTCAGCACAGTTCTAGAAATAGTATTTGATAGTTAACAGCTGCCACAGAGCCAGAAGGGGAACACGAGACATTGTGTTTCAGGAGGGTTTACTAAACCCGTGGCTATTGTTTTTATTTATTTATTTAATTTCTCGACAAGGGAAGAAGAGCTTAAAATACCAAATGTAAGCTTTTTTTTTTAAAAAAAGACTTATATTCCTAAGTAGGTCAAGTGACTCCTATGAACCTTGATATTGTAAGTAATATGAATATTGTCCTCTGAAATTTGACAAATTTAATATCCTTTTTACTCATTTTACAATCAATCACATATATGGTCAATAGGTTTGGAACATGGAACAGAGGTCTTCCTTTAGATCATAAGGGGGTGAAACCTTTTCTTTAAAAAGCAAGATGTGAAATATTGTAGGATTTGTGGACCATTTACAATCTCCATTGCAATTACTCAGTTCTACCATTGCAGGGCTAAAACAGCCATAGATGATATGTAAATAACAAATGGATGTGGCTCTGTTCCAATAAAATTTTATTTACAAATCAGGTGGTGGGCTGCATGTGGCCGTGGGTCATAGTTCCCCCACCCTTGCTTTGGACAGTAAGTGGAAGATGCCACACATCATAAAGGTTAAAGGCACTGGCGCTCTCTTTAGGCTTGGGACTCAAGTTCCACATGCACTTCCCGTGGAAACACATGTAGGCCTTTAATGGCCACAGAGGGGTACTTAATTATGCATATATATGTGCTCTATAATCCCTCTAATAATGGTATGAGAGTAACTGAGCCAGACTTTTATGAACTGAGAGGATAAAGATCATGATCTCCAGTGTACAATGAACCTGATTTTTCTTCCCTTTCTTATTTTAAGTTGATATCACCCTTAAAGTTTGAATTATCCTGCAAGAATGTAGGTTCATTAACTCCAGTTCAGCTTGTGCATCATCTTAATGGGACATATTTTGTAATGATGTGAATCACAAAACAGTCCCGGGCTCCAAATGACCTAAATGTTTCATTGAAGTCATTACAAGCATTGCATACTGGGAAGAAAAGGAATTTTATTATTTAAAGATGACTTGCACAGGGGCAAAATACAACTTTAGGAGGAAAAGTTGAAGTCTAAAAAAGAAAAAGGAAAAAAAAATCACAGAATATGCTGATTGTAAAATGTTATTGAGGCAGCTTTTATATGTCCGCTCTGTGTCCACTCTCAACCATGACTTATTGCCATGTAAATTACCAATTTGATGGTATACAAAGATAGGGGGAAAATGTAACAATGCCTTACACTTTCTACATTTTTGTATTCATGTATTACATTTGTTCTAGAGACATCATTTTAACCCTTGGCATCTCAGAGGCAAAGTGATGGTCGTAAGACTGAGAATGTCTAATACTTAAATAGGATCTCATCTATTAGAAACTTCCTAAAAGGTGATCACTTTTTCCAAACATGCTTCTTGCTCAATGCCTCATTTTCATTTAACAATAGTTTTTTGGAAAACTTTCTCTGTCTTAATGTTACCCTAGTCTCTCCATTGTCTTGTCCTTTCTTGTTTTCCTATGTGTTACTTACTAGAGATGGAAATGTCATCCATTTGTCTAATGGAGTTCAGAATGATTTTAATACTTTAGTTTCTCTTTGTAGCTTGGTCTGTCACTTGTCTTCAATACTTGTGTCTCATAACACCATAGCGTTGCATCATCCCCAATGTTATAAGGGTATCCTTTTCCTTAAAGGGTTATTCTTATAGCAATTCGAGTTGAATAAGTAAATCATTACACTCTCAGTCATTCCTATCAGTGTGCTTACTTTATAAAAATTATACCTGCTATCGTGCCACTCATTTTCCTAATTGGGTTAGGTCCATCTGCAGATCTCTTCGGCTCTAAGTCATCTGAAGGATGCTGTGTTGTCAGCGACCATTTTGCAGGTTACTCTCACACCAACATGAATAAACATCACTGGTCTCAATATTGATTGCTAGAATATGTCAGCCCTCACTTCATCGGCACCCTCATCACATGGCATGGAAGTGTTGTTACGGGTACTCTTTCCTCTCCCAAACCCTCCATTTCATCCTCCGGAATCCCTGTCCAATGCTAAGCAAATTTCCTAACATTCTATAGCTTTACAAAACGTTCCTCCTGCCTCCTCATTAATTATAACTGAAAACTGCTCTCTCTCGAGGACACGGATGCTCTGGAGGGGACCCTCGAAGGAGCTGGAGTTGGAGTGAGGGCTCCAAACTGCCACTTCTCTACCTGTGGACTTCCATGTGGACTTCCCTTCCCCTCTGAGCCATGTACCATTCAACCATACCATCCTACGGCTCCTTGTGGCTGTCATCTACAGAGGCGAGCACGGTAGAAGCACTTCATAAACAATAAAAGAATTCATAAAATAATCAATATGGTTCCTCCTCATTTCCTGTATTCATCAGAGATGGCTCAGCCTTCGCCTCCATCACTGGTCCCAGAGTCACTTCAAGGGTCTTCAGTTCCCGAGTGGGTAGCCTGTTTAAAATCTTTGCCTCACTCTTTTTCTCACACCTACTCCAGCTGCTGCTGGGTCCGTGCTGACACGTGTACTAAGTTGCACGTCATCTACCGCACTGTACTTTCTAAAAATTTAAGAGTTCTTAAAGTTCACTCCCATCAGTCCTTGAATGTCTTTACTTTTCTCCCTATTAAACCATCTTCCTGAGTGTTTCTCTGAATTTTGATATCTACAAACAACTTTTGGCTATTTTGTTTGTTCATGTGGGTGAATTGCTTTTTGACAGATTAATCAAAACTGCAATTGAGTTCCTTTGAGGCAGAAATTGACATGTGTGAGATTTATTTGGGGAGAGCTCTTGAGATTAACACCTGCAGAGGGAAGAGAAGGATGGAAGAACGGGAAGACGGAAAACTGAGCTGCAGTGTATCCCTACAAGGTCTCGGTCTACCCTGCAGGGAGCTCATTCGGGATCATTCTGAATTGGGGCATTGGGTTGGGCCTCTCTACACAATGGTGACCAGTCATTGGTTATGAACTGTCCTGGAAAAGGGGTATAACTTTGGACGAGGTAGCTTTCTTCAGCCTAGGGCTAGGCTGTTCCCAAAGAGGACTGACAGCTGAGAGCTGTCAGCCAACAACCTTCCCAGTAGCTGGGAGAAAGATCCTTGTCGCTCATTGTATACTGTGCTCTCTGGGTACAGCAGCACTTGGATTGGCCTTTGGGAACTTCTTTTACCTGAGTAGCCCAACTCTTTCCTTAGTGTAATTATAGGTGGTGATCTACAACTATTGAACTAGAGTACCTTCCCCAGTCCTTCCACATCATGGCTTATGGAGTGCCTTATATGCCCGAATATAAGGCAAGTATATATATTAATAAAAGACAATATCCTCCAGAGAAAATACAAAACAAAAGCTTTTTGGACAACTTAAATATTTATTTTTAAGAAATGTAGATGAAATAGCTGAATGTCTACTTAAAATATGTACTTAATTATATATATTTAGAATCTCATGTTATAAAGATTTCATGTTAATTTTATTCAGTCTTCATATGCTTTATCATATCTGCCATTGTCAGAACCACTTTTTAACTTTTCTAGAGTTTTTCAGAACGCATCATCTTGATTTTCACCTAAGTTGTTTAAGATATAGTGATTCTGGAATCTCTGTATCATAATGACCTTGGAAATTGTATCTTAAGTTATTTGTGAACCCCACAATGTAATCACTTATTTTATTGCTTCTTAAAGTGTGTTTTTTTCCTACAGGCTGGCCAAGTGAAGCAGTGGGAGTGGGGAAGGAACCAAGCAATCTGTAACTGGTTGTGATCAATTACTTGTAAACACTACTGCACTCACACCAGCCTTAAAGCATTTTTAAAAGACTTATTCTCAACAATTTTTAACCCTTGTAATTGGAGATCATTTTCCCATTAATAATTACTAAATCTACATTAAAGTTTTCTTTTTTTTTCTTTTAACCTTGGTAAGCCATAACTTACCATTATATGAATATAAAAGCAGAAATGTCACCTCCCAATGTTATTTATTGTTCAAAATAAAATAACTAAGAGGGCACCCTGTAGTATGAATGACTTTGTAAAGATTCTAACTTAAGTCAACAACTTTTCTGAGGACTATATTAGAGTGGGAGAGGGATGGAGGAAGACTTTGAATTATATTTGGATATATGCAGCAACCATAAACAATGAAAAACTATTCCACAATATAATAATTTCCAACGATAAACAGATTGAGAACCGCCTCAATTTCCTGATCTCCACTCTTAGATTTATCTGCGTTATCTCTTCTGTCTAGCATCAAATGTAAGTTACTGATGGTAGGAAGAAATACAGAAACATCATCCAGAGTTGCACATGTGTAGCAACAATATAAATCGACGTCACTTTATTGCAGAGGAAATGGGGAGCTGGTGAAACCAAATAAAGCAAATGACAAATTGCTCGAACAAAATGAACCAGTGGCAAAATTCCTTTATCAGGGAAATCAGTGGATTTGCTGTGATACTAGTGGCCTGGGAGAGTTGAGGTGACCCTGGCTAGGTTAAAGCCCATCACTCCTCCTCAGCCTGAATCCCTTACACAGCTACTCACCTGCTGAAGCTCTTCTTGCAGCAGTCGGTGCCCCACCCCCACCTCTAATGCTAACTATATCAGCAATATATTGCCAATATATTGGCAACCAATGCCAATATATTAACACACTCATCACCCTCTTGCACTGGGGTTCTAACTGCTCCTCATCTGGACACGTACTTCTCCCTTGGAATCACCAACCCAACTTCTACGCAGTTTCCTTCACTCTCTGAACTCTCCCTTTCCTTTTTACCAAGGAAATCTCTGCTCGTGATTTACAGGTAAATGTTCTTGTTCCCTAGAGCTCCACTGTTTGCCCTTTGCATAAACTACACACTCTGCCTAAGCAAACTTCCTTATTCCTTATTTGTTGCCTATAAACTGAAAACTTTCAGCCAGACAGTTTGGGTTGAAACCCCAGATGAACCACATTCTAGCTGTAGAATCTTGGGAAAGGGTTTAATAAAAGTTCTGATTGCACAAGACTATTTAATGATTGAATGAAATCATGCATGTAACATGCTTAGTACAGTGTCTGGCACATGGTGTAACACACTGAAATGTTAGCTGCTTTTCTTAGCATCTCCGTTTCCAGCCTATATCTCAATTTGGAGTTCCCTTGTATAGTATTATTCAGGTTTTCCATAAATACTGCAAATTCAATAGGCTCAATTTTAAACCTGATTCATCCCACTTCCCCATACACACCACACACACACACAGACACACACACACACACACACACTCACATACACACACAGGCATATACACAAACCCAAAGAGATTTCTTTTAAGGCATTGGCTCATATGATTGTGCAGGTTTGTTAAGTCCAAAATCTACAGGCTGGAGACCCAGGGAAGAGTTACAGTTCAAGTCCAAAGGTCATCTGCTGGGGGAGAGGTCAGTCTTTGTTCTATAGAGGCATTCAGTGAATTGAATGAGGCCCATCCAGGTTGTGGAGGGCAATCTGTTTTACTCAAAATCCACTTATTTAAATGTTAATATCATCCAAAAACAAACAAACAAACAAACAAACAAACAAACAAACAAACCCAAGCACTTTTACAGAAAAACCCAGAATGATGTTTGACCAAATATCTGGGCACCGTGGCCCAGGCAAGTTGACACATGAAATTAACCATCACTTCTCCTTCAGCTACATGGATTAAAAAAGAGAAAGAAAAGAAAAGAAAAGAAAAGAAAAGAAAAGAAAAGAAAAGAAAAGAAAGAGAAAGAAAGGAAGAAAGAAAGAAAGGAAGGAAGGAAGGAAGGAAGGAAGGAAGGAAGGAAGGAAGGAAGGAAGGAAGGAAGGAAGGAAGGAAGAAAGAAAGAAAGAAAGAAAGAAAGAAAGAAAGAAAGAAAGAAAGAAAGAAAGAAAGAAAGAAAGAAAGAAAGAAAGAATTATCTACCATGCTGTCTTAGTTTGGGACCCCAAAAGCAGCAGCTGAGACAAGGACTGAGATTCAGGGCAAGTGGTTTATCCGGACATGCAGGAGGCCGGGCAGGGGGGTGGGCAGGTGGTGCAGGGAAGGGAAGGAAGCCAGCAAGGGGAGTCTTGCCAAGCAGTTACCACTGTGGATGGCCGGGAACTTAGGGGGCCAGCAGAGAACCCACATCCCCATAGAGACTCCAGTCATTGTGGAGCAGGGCTCTTGGGGGCAAGGAGGGCACTTCCAGCCTCCTGAGGAAGAGTGGGCTTTAGTGGCCAAGGAAGGGCCTCAGCAAGTGAGTACAGAGCCTGGAAGTGTGCAGAGACCATAAGGGTGTGATGGACATCAGCAGCATGAACTGCACTGAGCGACCTCTTCACGGGGAAGGAGTACAACAACACAACCAGCGCAGGGGAGGAAACAGGGCCTCAGAGTCAACCCCATCCACCACCCCATCGGCTTCTTCTTGAGGTGACTCTACAACTCACAGGCAAACCAGGCTCCTTCTCAGAACTTCTTCATTTTCACATCAGTTTTTCTTTAAATGTTCCCTTTTTGGCCGGGCATGGTGGCTCACGCCTGGAATCCCGGCACTCTGGGAGGCCAAGGCGGGAGGATCGCTCAAGGTCAGGAGTTCAAAACCAGCCTGAGCAAGAGCGGGACTCCGTCTCTACTAAAAATAGAAAGAAATTAATTGGCCAACTAAAAATATACAGGAAAAATTAGCTGGGCATGGTGGCGCATGCCTGTAGTCCCAGCTATTCGGGAGGCTGAGGCAGGAGGATCGCTTGAGCCCAGGAGTTTGAGGTTGCTGTGAGCTAGGCTGACACCACGGCACTCTAGCCCAGGGTGACAGAGTGAGACTCTGTCTCAAAAAAAAAAAAATGTTCCTTTTTTGCCTAACAAGTAAAGCATGGTCATCAATACAGAGTCAATGCAATGGTATCAGTGGTTTATCAACAGTGAAAACTGAGTCTCACCCTCCTGCCCACGACCCACTGCTAGCTCCCGCATGCGGCGAGCTGTGAGTTATTTCTATAGGCTCTGTCCTCTCAATCTCTGTGTGACTTCCATCTGTCAGACACACTGCCCCAGAGCTCAACTGCTCTTTGTTACAGGCTTAGCTCCACCAGGCTCCCTCTGACTGTCCTCCCCGGCCTTCTGTTAGGTGGCCCATGTCATCCTCTGCCATCCCTATGATATCCACACATGCCGTTGGCCCTCCTCCCACCTCCCTCCCACCCCATCAGGCACGTGGCTCCTTTGCACCCACAGGGAACACTTTCTCATCAACACTCATCCCCTGTCCACATCGGATCCCTTCAGACACCTAGTTAGTCCTGGGTGTGCTTTTTTTTTTCAGAGAGCTTAAACAGAACTTTATATCTATGTGAGTGGTTATCTGACTAACGTCTGACACACGACTATAATAAAAGCTCCATTAAGGCGACAATCGTGTCTACTGTAGGTGGCCACATCCCTAGTACCCAGCACCACATCTGATCTAAAAGGATGCCCTGCCAGCTGGACCTCCAACATAGACCCAGGACCTAACCTTTTCTTGTGACCTTACCAGTTATGTCCCAATCTGGCAACAAGGCCATGACTATAACCTCCCATGCGGTCTCATGGGCTCTATTCTTGGTCTCTCCAGTCCCTTCTCTACCCAGGTAGAGTGATCTTCAAAAACATAAATCAGATCTTGTCACTCCCCCTGCCGAAGATCCTCCAATGTCCTTCCAGCCCATGAGGAATAAAATCCAAAGTCCCACTCTGCCCACAGGTTCTCCTTGATCTGGGCCCTAACTACCCTGGAGCTACATTCCGGACCCTGTTAATGGTAGATTGGAAACCTCCTCCTGAGTCTATCCCACCTGCCTCTCTCCATCCCCATCCCCAGCGAGCAGGGGGAGGGACAAGGGGAGAGAGTAGACTTTGAGGAGCAAACGAAAGGACCTGGCACAAGTGCCCACGACAGGCCCAGTGATCTCTCAGGGTCTTGGCACGTGAACTTCCTCCTGTCTGGATCACTATTCTCCCTTCTGACACTCCCCCCACACTCCCTGCAACTCCGATGTGCTCTGCATGGAGTTAGGCGCCCCTGCTCTGTGCCAACAATACCCCGAACATCCCTGTGTCACCCTGTAGAGTAATGACATTAGTTATCTTCCCTCCCACCACCTGGTAATGACCCTGCACGTCCTGTGCAGCATCATTTATCCAGCACTTATCTTTGCCCAGCACACAGGCGTGGGATTAATATTTGCTGAACTGAATTAACCAGACTTGTTATTTTCTTTTCTTAATCTCTATTTTAGCCATAGTTATAATATTCACTGACATCCATACATATTCTTACCACATGTTTGAGCAAAGACTAGGCCTAAGTACTAACTTACACATAGTCCAGCCACAAAGATACGGCTGTGTTTAGTAAATGACATTATCAGCATTTTAAATAACCAATTCATCATTTTTGTCTTTACATTTTTATCTATATTCTTATCTACCATATACACGAGGATAAGGCATTTAGCCCACTGTTTTTTTCTTATCTGTAATGAAAGGGAGGTTGGCCAGACAATTTCCGTGGTGTCTTTTATTTTTATTTATTTATTTATTTTGAGACAAGTCTCACTCTGTTGCCCGGGCTAGAGTGCTGTGGTGTCGGCCTAGCTCACAGCAATCTCAAACTTCTGGGCTCAAGCGATCCTCCTGCCTCAGCCTCCTGTGTAGCTGGGACTACAGGCATGCGCTACATGTCTGGCTAATTTTTTTTCCTATGTATTTTTAATTGCCCAGCTAATTTCTTTCTATTTTTTTTTTTAGTAGAGATGGGGTGTTGCTCTTGCTCAGGCTTGTCTTGATTTCCTGAACTCAAACGATGCACCCACCTCGGCCTCCCAGAGTGCTAGGATTACAGGCGTGAGCCCCCGTGCCTGGCCCCATGGTGTCCTTTAACTCTAAATGCCTGAGGTTCTACGTGATGGGCTGCCTGACCTCCTTATTCTCAGCACCTGCATCTTGTTCATCTTTGTGTTTCTAGCACCCAGCCCACGGCTTGGAAAGCAAGGGAAACTCAGGACCACTGCCCTGCTGTGGGGTGTCTACACTCAAACCCAGCTGTGCACCTTGTTGGCTGTACAAACCTGGACAATTACCTTGATCCCTCAGAGCTTCAGTTTCCTCCTCTGAAAAGTGGGGATGATGTTTGCAAAGAGCCTCACATGCGAACACAGAGCCACAGCTCTCCTGGAATGTGGATGAATGTATGAGCCAATGAATCCAGGATGCTAGACAAATTGCCTAGATTAGATAGCAAAATGTGCATTATGTCTTTGGTATCATGTTCTCTAAAATACTGAGTGATCAACATAACCGTTTCTGCTCTCTAGTCCATAAAGCAGATGTAAATTAGTTCCTTGCATTTGTGCTACACCACCAAATATTACTAAAACGTAGTTAGTAATTACAGAGACACTGCTAATACATATATAATAAAAGATATACACTAAATTTGTTTACCTTATTTTTTATGTATAAATATATACCTAAACTGATTTGTCTACATTTAAATGAACAACAGTATGAACATTTCCTGAAAGTTTTTTATGGGGAGGAATTTTCTGTTTCTAATAAAAAGACCCACTTGATTATCATATTGTTACCTAATTATCCCAGAACAAAATAGAGCCTGAACTTTTATTAGGTTACATCAGAGCTCAGAGTTACATTATCTTGCAAACAAAGTTTCTGACTGTCTCATTAAATAAGAGAAGGTGTAACAAAAAATTTAGTTATCAAATGTGACTTTTTCTGCCAATTTTTTTTTCCTCAACTGTTTATGCTGTTGGGTTAGCCCATCTGGTTTTTATTTGAGAATAGAAATCACAAATCCCACAAACCATCCACTGATTCCTAATCCTAGAAAAGACTGGTATTACTTTGGCAGCATAATATGTTTTTCTTTCCTCTGGTGGAAATAAATATGCAGCTTTATAGTGGATTAAAAAAGACAATTGAAAAATTTCCTATTATAAACATGTATGGTATCTTAATTTCCTAGTATAATAGCCGGCCCACTAACATAATTAATTATATTTTAAATGCAAATTGTTGACAACGGTTCATCTGGTTGAAATTACTTAAGCCACATCAACTCTAAAGAAAGTCCTGCTTACTAAGTCCTAATTTTTTTTTAATAAAAATAATTCCATATTCTCTCCCATGCCCAGCAATCTCTTAAAAATTTCACATGATATTTAAAGCACCATCGCTGCAACCCCATAGAGACAACCAGGCAAATATAAGTGATTTATATGCAGATTTCAACCTATTTACCGAGCTTAATAGTAAGAGACAAAATATTATATGCAAAATGCGTTCATTTAAATTTTTGATCAGATCTTTCTGCTGCTTGATGGAGCAAGCAAGTTATATCAGTATAGGAGCAAACACATTTCAGAATAGAAGTCTCAAGCCAAGTTCATCTGTACGGCAGTATGGCTAGATGATCCATTAGTTTCACTCATCCTGATTGACAAGTATCACTGCAATGTGAATCAATCCTGAAATTTCCACAGTAAGCACTAAAGTGGCTGAGATAATGACAGCTCTCAGACCAACAGTGCCGTGGGACCCTCAGAGATCACCTTGCCTGATGTTTCCCAAAAGGTAGGATGCTAGCTAGCTCTGTGTGGTATACAAGATAATTTGGGGAAGTACACACACTGCTTTAAATGTATAGTTTTGTTTGTGTATCAATGGGCATTAGAACGACACAATAAGCATATTGAAAGTTATGATTTCATGGGTGTTATTATTTAAGAAAAGGCTCAAAGAGTTAAAAGGTGAGTTGATTTAAAAAATGTTAAGAAAATAATAGAGCAGGTAGCATATAGAAATGACAAAAATAGTGATGGTTGTATATAAGAATGACTAAAATTTAGAAAATATTGATCTAGCCCAATCCCAAATTTTGCAGGTGAGGAAAATGAGGCTGTGAGTAGTTTTAAAGATTTCCCCAACATCCTATGGCTTGTCAGGGCTAGAACAGACTCTATAACTTAGAGTCCCACACTCTGTGTATTGCATTTAGGATTGTCCATCTTGCCTTTAGACCATTTATTTCAGCCTCACAAAGTATATGGACTTTTTCCCAGAAGTATTGGTCAACGGGAAAATTGAGAAGAATCCTCAAGCTATTTGTGTATTTAGTGTTGCTTCTTTTTATGGAATGACAGTGGTACTGTTGTCATCTGACCAGAATAAAAAGGTGCTAATGAAAGCTGATCTCATTTTCAGCTATATTTAAACAGAGTAATATTGATTAGATCTGTATTGTTAATTATAGGGAGAGATGTGGGCTATAAGAATGATAAATTTGGCCAGGGTGCGGTGGTTCACGCCTGTAATCCCAGCACTTTGGGAGGCTGAGGTGGCAGGAACACTTGAGCCCAGGAGTTCAAGACCAGCCTGAGCAAAAATAGTGAGACCTCATTTCTACAAAAAAGAGAAAAATTAGTTGGGCCTGGTGTCACATGCTTGTGGTCCCAGCTACTTGGGAGGGTGAGGCAGGAGGATCACTTGAGCCTGGGAGTTGGAGGTTGCAGGGAGTTGTGCTCTCAAGCCAGTGCTCTCAAGCCAGTGCTCTCAAGCCTGGGTAACCGAGCAAGACCATGTCTCTTAAAAAAAAAAAAAAAGGTAAATTTATAATCATCTATATATTTTGTTAAGCTAAAATATGTGTGCCTTGTTACTAAATTCAACTATGCTCAAAATAACATTTTTACCCAACACACTGAGGCCTTTGGACATTTTTGCTTTGTATTGCGAAAGATATTCTATGATACATTCTGTAGGTTCCTGGAAATAGAAACCAAAATCCACACATGCTCCAGTAATGTGTTGGAGCCGTCTCTACCAGATTGTAGCTTCTCTTTCTACCTCCTCGTTCAGAGACTTCGCGTTGGTTGCTTGAAATCATTGGCCACAATAGTATTTACACCACAGACATTGGCTAACGCTGCAAATCAGGGCTTCTTCCTCTATAGAGCTCCTTGTTAAACATTTACCAGCACACCACTTCTTTGAGAAGTTTTAACAGTGGATGGAAGGCAAGCCCCCGTTTTAAATGAGGCTTGGGAACTTTAAGGAATGATGTGCAAATTAACTTTTATACCAGTAGAAATCTTCACAAGGGAGGAACAGAGAGGCATCCCAGGAGCTCTAGGGAGCAGATAAGCCATGGAATGTGGAAAGCATTTGGCTGTGTTTTCTTTGCTTTCTGGGAACTTTAATAGAATCTGAACTCTGAGGAAAAACAGGTCCAAACAGGCAGAAATGGGCTTTCTTGTTATTCTGCTGACTAAAAAGACATTGCCTAAGGCTCTTTGGAAAGTAAAGATGACAGGTGATGCCTCCTTCAGAAAGACAAATTTCTAAATAAAAAAAAAAGCCTCATGAATGAGCTAGATATGTGCTATCTGATAGAACTTTCTACAGTGATGAAAATGTTCCCCGTCTACGCTGTCCAATGACGTAGCAACCAGACCCATGCTGCTATTTAACACTTGAAAGGTAGATAACCCGAACTGAGATGTGCTGTGAAATACACACCAGATTTCTAAGACTTAGTATAAACAAAAAAATGTAAAATGTCACCTAACATGTTGATATTGATTATCTGTTGAAATGATCATCTTTCATATACATTAATTATTAAATAGTATCTATTATTAAAATTACTTTTACCTGTTTCTCTGTACTGTTTTTAATGTGGCTACTAGAAAATTGAAAATTACATATGTGGCACACATTAGATTTTTATTGGAAACCTCTGGGCTAGATCATGAAGTTCTACATCAGGTGCCGGAGAAGGGAGAAGAGTACAGGGAATGAGAAAAGGTGGGCAAGCTACAAACACATCGAAATTTTCCAGAGCTCATGAGACAAATTTTGTAATGCAACCTCCTGTGCCACACTGAGGGCCAGAATGCCAGGAAAATACATAACAAATTGCCAACAGGTTGCATATGTGGAGAGGGTAACACACCCAACTGCTTAAAACCATGAGCTGCAAATCTGAATCTCAAAGATAATCTATATTTTCCTCAAACCTTCTCCCTCTGGTAGGTAGGATTGTGACACTGTTTGAGACAGCACTATGGAATTCTGGGTCAAATTTTTAGTCCTGCTTCCAATATATATATATCCTATTTCTAGCCCCAAGAAGAAAAAGAACATTATTGTGCTTGAGAATTTATGTGAGATCACTACCTACCTTGAAATCCAGCACCTTTTTTCAGGTGGAGAGCCATAAAGCATAGATTAAGGTATAAGCACCCCCAGTAAATCAGAAGGCTGGCTAAGGCTGTATGGGACTCAGATTTCATCATTTTAATTTCAGGTCTTCAGTTTCTCAAGAAGGTTAAAAAAACAACACAATAATTCAAATACACTCAATGTTGAAAATGTATTTTTTTTTACCTATCATTCAGAACTAGGCTTGGCTTTGGAAGTAGTCATCAAATGCAACTCATTAAGGGCAACTGCTGCAACCAGTGAGAAAAAAATGATTTCAATATTACAAAAAAAAAAAAGAGGGGACAGAGAAATTTATTTTTTCTACTGTGTAGAAATTGAAACCTCCAACCTTTTAACTGCCCACTTTATTAGCATCCTCTTGGTGAAGGAGATAAAGACCATGTTCTAATTAGAAAACTTGGATCAAGCATAAGTTAAAGAAGCTTCCACCCACCCACATCACCTGCAAAACCATAAAGAAGGAAGCACACTGTGAACCCCCGAGAGGGAGCAAGCGTGGCTGGTACATAAATCCTTACTTTCTCTGCACGCTCCTTCTGGGACTTTAACATTCACTGCAGACAGTGGGAACTGTAAAAATAGACTATATGTTTCTGAAGAAGTGAAAGACTTATTGCATAACGGTGGTAAACTGTGTCTACTAGAACAGAATGACTATGCATGCAAACATAAAATGAAAAAAATAGCTACCATTCCAGACAAATGTATTTTTTTAAATATTCAGCCGAAAGAAAAATAGGTGGCTACATGAGTGAGTAAAACCTTTGCTCCCTGATATCAGGGAAATGGAAGGACATTAGCTAGTCCCCAAATCTGGCCAACAAATCTGGCTAATTCCCGTTGACCTCTCCTCAGCTGTAAGTCTCAAAGTTATTTCTCTCTCCTTTTTTTTTTACTTCCTTTTCTCTTTGTAAGACCTATATAAA